AAATCTTAGATATCATTTCCATTGGTCGATCGGCCGCGAAGATTTGAAATTTTCAAAATGCAACTAGATACAAAAACATGTCAAAATAATGCGAACGAAATATGATTCTTCTATGCTGTTAAAATGATTCTCTCGTGAATTTTCACGATGAAATTCAACATTGTTCTTAATCAAAGGGGGGATGATCTCAAAAGTTCTATGGGCTTGCTGTGCTTTTGTTTCTATGCTCGAATGTGCAAGTTCTTCTTAGTATTGCTAGTAGATACCCTTGTAATTTAATCGATCGTAAAATGATGCACTTGTCGAAGATTCGTCAATGAGTTAGTGATCACACAATTAAAAGTTTACAGCCTTCTGTTCTTTTTTTTCCCTCTTTTTTTCTCCTGTTTTCTTCTTTTTTCTGTTACTTTGTATGTAAAATATTTATATCTTCATAAATACCGACATACCGAACGATAAGATCTAAGTAGAGAAATTGTTATTACATAATCACAGTTGTACAGCCATTTGCTACCTCGTATTTAATACAAAAATGCTTAGATATCAATCAGTACCGTAAAACTGACATTTTCATTTGTTTCGCGCTCGTGTTCGCGCCACACACGCGTCCTTTCCATTAATTTCAGTCTGATTAAGTAATGTATGCATTATTATTACCACAGAAATGAACGGGGTTGGGTTCGCCTACGATTAATTGAAGGGAAATTCGCCAATTAAAGCCCGTACAATCAAAAATACACACACGAGTTTACAATCTAAGCAGTTTTGCAATACTATAACGGATAATAATACGAATATTTCAAAGAGCATACGTTATACATAATAATCGCAATAACACGAGAGACACGGTAAATTGGATCATTATCGTATCAACAATGTGTCCACGTTTGCGCGAATTAAGAAGATGAAAAAATACAATGGAAAAGAAGAAAGTAGAAAAAAGAGAAAGAACAACGAGATGGTAAATTTGAAAATAGCAGAAATGTCAAGAAGATGTACAAGTTTTAAGTAGTATATGTTGCTAATAGCAGAAGAACATGAAAAGCATCCACTTGTTACATTTTTCTTTTGTTCTTTCTTCAAGAAATACTGAGATGTCCATTGTCGCAGCAAACAAGAACACATTCTACGATTAATAAAATCAATTTTGTTTTAGTCAAGAGTACTTCTTAATTTCTCTCTCTCTCTCTCTCTCTCTCTCTCTCTCTCTCTCTATCGGAATTCGCACTGCTACTACCTAAATAACAAATGCATTAGTCATATATCAAAACTACAAGTGATTAAAGGTGATACAGGTTTATAGCAAGTATCTTTAGTTATAAATTGTAATATAAATGTTCAGCAAATTTTTTTTTGTTTTTTTTTCTTTTTTTTTAAGATATTACATATTACTATTTTTTACGAAATTTATTATTGTACAGTAATCTAATGATTATGTGTATGCTTTGCCGCCTGGAGTGTGCAGATAATTCTTCCTCGAGATTAGGGAACCATCATCTGCCCTTTATCTGATCGCGAATCTTCTCTTTTTGTTAAAGGGAATAAAAATTGGAAAAAAAGAAAAAAGAACCCATCGAAACAACAGGCAATCTCTGTAAACACTCAACTAGTGCATAAACAAACGGTCACAATACGGCTCTCTTCTAGCTCTAGTAATGTTCAACACAAGAGAAGAATCATTCGCACAAAACAGAGCATGTAACGTTTTGTATTTGTATTATTGTAACTTGTCAAAAATATATTGTTCAATTTGATCTGCCCTATTGTTGGTTTTCTTTGTGCAGAGTTAAAAAATGTTCAACTGATCTTATGGTTAAATCACAATAACATATTTTAGCAATTACCCTTGGCTTTATGTTAGATAGCTTATAAATATAGTTCTTTTTTTTTTTTGACATTTAGGAGATTCAATATATATTTATTCAATATCATATAGTATTTAAATTGGAGTAAGATAAAAAGAATTGTTATAAATCAATAGTAGAAATTATAGCACCTAATTTATAAAGATTCATATGTTATATATACGCGCGCGCGTGTGTGTGTGTTTATGCCAAAGGTGCAAACTGCATAGAGAAGATAAACAATCACCAAAACCAACAATTTGGGCAGTACTATATAAATATTCAACTGCATGTTTTTCTTTAGTACACAGTATTAGCTAATTAATTTATTTTGTTACTCTCCTATTACCCTATTTTGTAGCTAAATTTGTTGCTTTCACAATAATTTATGTTCTTAATAATTAATATTTTAATTGTGTTATTGTTATAAGTAAAATAATATATATATTGTAATTTTTTATAATATTCAATATTATATCATTAGGAATATCTTTCCTAGATTTTCACACAACTTGCCGTAATCGTAATATATCCTGACGTGTTGTGCAAAAAATAAAAGAAATCAGTGTTCTTCTATCTTATTTCAATCATGCTGTTACATTTTATCGCCTTAAACGGACATTATTTGATTTCAAAGAACGAAACATTCCATTTTCGATAATAATTACTATCATATTGATCATAAACAATTGGAGAGAATATTATGATTACGAGAAGTCGATGAAAGAAGCATTCTTTATAAGTACATTTGTTAGTAACGAACTATCGTCTGAATTAGTTAATCTCCTACTATTTTTATCAGAAGGTGGTGAAAAAATGTGTTCTTTTTTTTTCATCCATGCAAAGATGATATAATGACGTTTTCATTATCATTAACGATTTATGAAAGAATCGACATATAAGAATAGTACTTTTAAGATAAAATATGCACTCGACGAATGCGACGATAAATTCACTTTTCTTTTTCGTTAAATCCCGCTGTGGTTTTTGTACTTATAAAGAATGCATTTTAAAAACACAATTGAAAAATGCATTATTATAGTGCTAAATTGATTAAATTCTAAATAGTACTTTGAAAATTGTATCATGGTATACGCGATCATAGAACAAAATGAAAATATTTATTTCTTCGTCGCACGAGATGGAATATAATATATAATTGGTATTTTGTAACAATATCTCATCCCTCTTTACGTTCTTTCTTTAAACACTCTCGACAGTTCGTATTATTTTGTCTACAGTTTTCATCCTTTTCACGAACATTATCCCTCGACGGATCGTTTATACCATGATACGCAAAATTGTATTTTTCTTTATTTTTTTTTAGTAACATCTATTATATTTTATTATTAATAATCTGTAATAAAAACGGACCTAATAAAAACATTTATTTCCTTTTTGGCCTCACTTTTTGATACTAAACTATGAAGGTAATTGAAGAAAAAAGAAACAACAATCAGCTTCATTGTTGAGTTGTTAAATAATTAAATAATTAAGTAAAGTTTGCTATAATACCCTCGTTTTGTTCTAATTAAATTTGTGTGTTTCTTTCTTTGCTTCGTATCCATATTTGGAATATATCTCGTTCTCGTCAACAAGATTCCGCGACTCGTACGAAAGAACACTAGTAGCTCATAAAAAATATACTTGTTCTTCGACAGTGTTTTAATTTGTGCAGGGTATTATACATTTAAAATAATTTTAATTATATCGTAAATATTAAATAATAGTCTTTAAAATTGGTTATTGTAACATTTTATGTCTATGAGGAAAAAATTTGATAATGTTGTCCTATCTAGTCTAGTCATTTATACTTTAGGCAATATTTTACCTGTTTTTTTTTTTTTTTTTCATCATGAATGTATAGTCGTTTTACAATAGTGAATTACCAGCTACATATTCAAAATGAAAATATTTCATAGAGCCGGTATACAAAACGCATATTCATGCGTTTCATTGAAAAAAGCTAATTGACATGCTCATTTAGTCGCATGTCATCATATCGAGCTGTAACACGTATGTCACTATTATCGCTGGTATCATAAATATGAGTTACTCCCTCTTCTTTTGATTAAATTGAAAAATCCTAAATATTCGTAATATTCTTATACCTAAAATGTAAAAACTTACAACACAAACATTGAGTTCAATTAATTTAGTAATGTACTCTCGTCGTAAAATTACATTTCTTCATTGCTATCACACACTATTTAATTTAGTGT